CAGTAGTGTAAACAGTCCAATACAGTGAAGGTTAAATAAACATAACTAGGGACCCACTGATGTTAATGCAAGCTCAAATGCTCTTGTACCATTTATAAATCCATCTTTAATAACCACTGGGGAAGGATATTGATGATAAAGCTCTCTATAAAAACATTGCGGAGTAAATAAGAGTATCAGGCTTACCTTATTTTCTTGTAAATTGAAGAGGCAAGCAAAACAGACACTGTACAAGGAACATTGGCTTCTTAATTCAAAGCATATGCTTCATGTATTCATTTTGCTTTGAAAAGCAAAATACACATTTCAACTCCGTCTTTTAGTCCTGCCTTTCAGAAGGTCTGAAAATGATACAGTACTTGTAGAACTGTGGCAAGATATTTTTTGAAGAAGTTTTAAGTCTCCTTGGTTTGGTTGACAATGAAAACTTCGTGAAGCCTGTTAACATTTAATGTACAGAAGCTCAGTCAATTTTTGGAGAAGAAGAAGAAGAATCCAGCCTTGATGGTGATCATAATCCAAGTATATGGGTCCCTGTGCATTCAGTGAGATAGTTGGGATGATGGATCCCAGGAATGGGTGTCGTTTGCATAATTTATGTCTGTGTGAAATCATGAAAAGGGTATGGGTAGGTGTTGATTTTAGCATTATCCAAAACAAAACAAACAAACAACCGGCAACACCAGTTAAATGATGTTAAACTATTCTTAAACTAAGAATAGACCAGCACCACCCCTGCAAACTAGTTCTGGAATCTGGGGAACTGTGGAAGCTCTTGGCCACTTCCTAGCAGAAATAGACTCTGCTTGATCCAGGAATTACACAATAAGCCAGCAATAACATTATTGGAATTACTCCCTGCTGGATCCAGTATACAAGAGCAGATGGAAACTTTGTGGTGATGAATGGAACCTTAGCCCAAGGACATGGCAAATTCTCACAGTCTGTTCACCAGATGCTGGTTTGGGAAGAGGGGATGGATTCTGCTAGCCACAAATTATTGAACATGTGAATTGGCCTGACAGGGAGGAGTGAAGCAACTGGTTGCATGAACCAGAAACTAATAGGGGAATTGGGGGACTGCCAACAAAGGGTGTGGGAATGGTATGGTGTCTGAAGCCTAGTGTATCTGAGGAAGGGAGTTTTCATGGAGCTAAGAGGGATATGATTCCACAAAAAGGAGAGTTCATATCAATCCATGGAAATAACTGCAAAACAATCCTCTAGGGCTAGGCAATATCTTTTTCAGTTACATAGTGATAAAGTTGGAAATACAGCTGCTCATCATGACAGTCCCCATAGCCACCTTGCCCTAATCAGAATCCAAACATACTGGTCACTGGATCAGTCCATTTCAATAAATAAGTGGGTCTTTTGTAAAGTTAATGGCTCTTAACTCCCCATTCAAGACTAAACACCCACAAGTACTTTGCATTAGAGCAGGTGTAGCTTGCAGCAATATACTGTCCCTAGGAAAGTTTCTCTCCCAGTTGCTGTAACAAGTGCAGCTAAGTCCAAGGGGAACAAGGAACCCTAAGTGGGATGGTGGATGATGTCTTAGTTCCTGCTACCAGGACATTCCCAAGGGTTCAGCCCTGCAAACTGGGGCTCTACGATATCACTGCCTTTATAAAGACCAACTTCAAATAAAAATCTAGAACTCACCATCAGGTAAAAGATAGAAGTGTGGTGGTGGTGGTGGGAGTCCTGTAACAGGGAATTTTTCGCTATGTATTTTCAGCAGTGGTGACCATTGGTGGGTTGACAGTTATTAGCTGTGGGGCTAGAGATATTTCAGGGTTCGTGGGAGGGCTCACTGAAAGTTTTGTAATCTGGAATTCTTTCCTGTACAGTTTTAGAATTGCTAGTTCCAGGCTTTTCTAGAGGGAAAAGTTCAAGAGTTGTAGTTGTAGTTTTAGATATAATAGAAGAACATACTCTTGCTGAGAAGCTGGTTCCTGACAAAGGTGTACTGGGTATAGGATAGGGAACTGGGAATGCCTATACAATGTGTACACCTGGATTGCAGGTTTGACGCTGTTACTCAGTATGCCTTAAAACAAAACTTATTTTTTTCCCATTAGGAATGTTATTCATGGCATCTTAAAAGTTTCAAAGTGTAATCCAGCAGTGTAGAGAAATAGCCTCACTCGTATTGATCAGTTGAGTGATTTGTTTACTCTCCCACCTCCTGTCCCTCGGGATCATCCACATGGTAGCTTTGTCTCCTGCTGGTTCTCCTTTGGCAGCGGTTCCCAACCTTTTTCGAGTTGCGATCCCCTTTAATATCCCGCTCTGAAAGGTCAAGGAAGACATTATTTAACAAGGGTTACAACCCATATTAGGTGACCTGTGACTACCCCCTGAAAAAAAAACTTTGTGACTCCTTTGAGGGTTATGACCCCCCAGGTTGAAAAAAAAAGCATTATGGGATGTAAAAAAACTATGTTTCTGGACAGGAAGTCAGCCATGTGGATTGCATTTAGCCTTACACATCTGATGCTTTCATTAACGTACGCCCGCACAGGGCTGCCCAAGCTAAAGCTCTCTGCATATTTCATCTAGGTTGAAAAAATGAGGAAGCATACCAAGTCAGATCCTAAAACTGTACCCAACTGAACAGGCACTAAGGTTGTTTCTGCAGATTCAAGATGACCGACTCAATGGGATGAATCCCACTAGAACACCCTGGAGAAGATTCTCTTCTTAATCCAGAAACATCATTATGCTAGTATTACATGACAGAGGAAAATGTAATCATAACATTATTGCTTAATTATGTCCCTTTTTGTTTTTAATTGGGAGAAACTTCCTTGCACAGCTTGCTCATCCCCCATATTTGATTTAACTTTTTTGAAATAATGAAAGAGGACCTCTTTAAACAGAAATATTAGAGATCTGACAGACTGACAGATTAATGAGTTTTGGTGTTGATATCATGATCCACAACTCAATTAATTCCGGGGAAATTTGGATATAGTCAGATACCATCCACTGATTCTTCAGTGGGAACAAAATTGTAGAGCATCTAGTTTTACTTGTTGCCAATCTGGCTTGTTAAGCTTGTTTCCCCTCCACCTTTTGGATAGTCTTAAACCTTGCTCCCAACAGATGGTGTTAATTAGCTGTTCTGTCTACTAATAAAAATTTCCATTAGTACCTAGTCAGTCATAAGAATGGAGGTGATTTGCTCTGCTTTACTTGTGGAAAGCTAGTGGGATAGCCCAGTGGTTTAGGTATATATATATATATGGCTGCAGAGCCAGAGGCTGGGAGATTGATTCCCTACTGTGCCTCCTGTGAGTAGAGCCAGCCTGGGGGTCCTTGATCTGGCTGCATAATCTCAGGGTGCTCCCATAAGAAGGGAATGGTAAACCACTTCTGAGTATTCTCTACCTGGAAAGCCCTGGAAAGGGTCTCCATAAGTCATAATTGACTTGACAGCATGTGATTATTTAAAACATTGTGGAAGAGGTATGTGATTGAGATGTGTAGGCATTGAAGTGCTAATAAATAATAAGATGGAAGCCCCTTTCCATAACTTCATTAGCTTGTAGTCATGAATAGGAACAGCACTTCATCATCTTCTTAATCGTGTTTTAAAAGCTGCTGCACCACCTTCCCAAGAACTAGCCTGTTCATCTGCCTTGAACATGATCTCTGTTTCTTAAACTGCTACAGTGGCTGATTGAAATGTTGGTAACCTAACCATGACGCTTGGTTTTGAGCTTGGCGTTCTCTAGTACATCCATCAGTTACACATTTCTTGAAATCTATTCATTGATATGATTTTCAAAAAACCACACAATTGCTTGTTTGTTTTTGTTCTCTTGCCTTGCACTCTTGACAGTGTCACATGCTGTAAAAAGCACCCAAGTTCATTTTCGAGCCAGTCTGTTTTTCTTGATCTCTGCTGTGGCTGCCTCAGTTTGCACAGTAGTATCTCCCACTCTAAAAGCTCTTCAGATAAAGGAATGTTTGTCTTTCTCCTTCTACTAATTCTTTTGTCCATCTGTGTTTATTAGATATCTTAGGCATTCCAAGTGTCTCTTCAGAGGGCAGCATTCAGAAGAATGTGCTCTCGCGATTATTATTTTTTTAAAAAAGCCTCATATTACTGCTTAATTTGCCCAATATATTGTCATGAATTAGACTGTCTCAAGAGAAAATCAGCAGACAGATCGAAGGAACTGGCATTGTGAGCCTGCTCCCCAAACTTGTTAACACCTGACTTCAACATTATTTCACTCTTTTCATCATACGGAGTACATACAGGCACAAGTAATGTAAGGCTATGCCAGAACTCTCATTTTCTCTACTTATTAAATAAGATAATAAGGTTGGGTTTTCCCCTTCTTTTCTTCAGTTTAAGTGGATAGCAACAACAACAACACCCCCATGGACTCTCTGTCTTTCCTATTTCCCAAAGGCTCAAAGCTAAGGCCACTGAATGGGGGTAGCTGTAAACAGAGCATTCTGCCAGCAGAAACAGATGTTTCAAGTGTCTTTGCCCACTTGTAATTACAAAGCCCATGAGCACAAAATGACAGAGCCTCACCCCTGCCATGAAAGGATGCCCCATGAGTTGTTTTCCTGGCTACAAATGATGGACACTTCCTTCTAACACCTCCCACTTCCTCAAGGTAAGGGGTTTTCTTGGCTTGGAGTAGTGGAGGAGGTAGCAGGAAATTAACATCATCAGTTAAATGTCCTTGCCCAGTGAAAGTGGGACTCACACTACTGTATATTGTTCAGTAAAAAATGTGATAATCACACACACTCAGAAATAGCAATTGTGCATGTCTGGTGGGATGATATGAAGGTCCAAACAATATCTCTAAATATCATTACTTCACAACACTGAATACAAAACATGGAACATTAAAGAACTCAGAAAATGACAGTGTGCACACTTTTTTAAAATTTTGTTTCACTGCTTTCTTAGACTGGAAAGTCACTGTACGTCTTTTCCAATTTGTTTCTCTCTCTTTCTTAAACAGATGAATCACACTCCTTGGATCTTTTTATTTGCCTGTCTTCCACCAAAGCTGACCATGAAAACTGCCTAAATACAACAGAATTGCATCAAACAAGCTTATTACAGAAGGTATGGTTGCAAAATGTCATTACTCTGTAGTATTCTAAAGTATTCCTATACATATGTCCAAACTAACATTTTCATCTCTGTATTTATTATATTACCAAGCACTCCATCAGATGCAAGTTCTGGGAGCTTCATTTTAATTCTAATCAGTAGTCAACATCTACAGGAATTTGCTTCTATTTGAGCAGATACTTTGCATGTTTCAGGTGAAATCTCCAAACATTGTCATTTAAAAAACCACAGACAGCAGAGCTTGGGGACTCATAGTCAAACCTGTGCCATGTGCATCTACTCTAGAGTTTGAAAATGGGATATGTAGTTTTACCATACAAGATGGCCTTACAATAGAACATAGTTTGGTCCTGAGATAGCTTGGAGCAACAATAGAGTGAGATCATATATGAAGACAAGAGCAGGCGATGCCTTTACTGGACCACTAAAACATTAGAATAAAAATGCTAACTTTTAACCTATACCAGTCTTCATCTAGCTATGCACCAATATACTGTGGATATTGATACACAACCTGATGAAGACTAGTACAGGCTGAAAGCTAGCAATTTTTTTAGTGATGTAGCAAAGGTATCACCTGCCCTTGCTTTTTTTATTGTATCAGGACCACAAGACTTTGTTGACGATATATGAAGAGCAATGAATATTTTTCTCATATAACATTCTCTCTCCAGGAAAAGAAATTTTTCAGGAGTGAAAATGCAGCCTTGCTTATCTTCTGATAACTAATTATGGATCAAAAGCAAGCTAATGTGCCAAATGCAACTTTAGGCAAATTCATGTTACAATGCAGAGCCTTCTGCTTCTTAAGGGAGCGCTGCTTCTAAGGATGCATTGACTCCTGTAGCATCATTGGCAGTGGCAAGTGAAACACATGTTTAATTCTCCACCACCGAAACCAATGGGATATATAACTGCTTTGCTTTGCTGGGTCACTGCAATTACTATGTGAAGCCGTAACAATCCACGTTGCTATTACCTAATCTGGGTTTTTATAGTTCACCACACCCACAACTGGAATTCAGCTCTTGTACATTGCTGGAAAATATAGGATTCCAATGAAATTACACAAATGCCTCACTGAGAGTAGAATGCTTGGAAGCAAAGTGAGACAGTGTGGGATGGACACTCTGTGTTTTAAAAGGAGTGGGTGTCCACTCTGTCCAATGCAAGTGGGAGTCACGACTTTTCCTGGCAGGGCAAGCTTGACTTTAGCATTTTGAACATCTAGCACAAACATTTCTCTTAGGTGAATTGACAGCTGTTTTCATGACTATCAAAATAAGGGAAATTTTTGGAGTAATCAATGAAATGGGTGAGCTGTCAATTTCACCCAGTGTCAACTACTGCTGTTTTTTCTGACTCTGTGTGAGCATGAAATTATCTGCCTTTCTGATATTTCCACTAGTATTTCCTTAGATACTAAGAATTATGGAACTTATCACTGAAAATGGAATTCAATTAAGGTTGATGGAAACCTTCCACTGAAGTTTCTAGTCAATGGTTGACTGTAGTTATTTCTTATCCTATACAAGAGAATGGTTGTAATCTCTCTATGCTGGCTGTATTACTGAATCTGATTGCTTTGGTGGCACTACTTCTTTTTTCACTGGTACATAAAAATGAAAGTTAAGTTGTGAAAAGGAAAACACAATGACTAGAATCATTCCTATTCATTCCAGGCAAATGCTCTCCCTCAAATACAACGTCTGCTTTGCAGAAAAGAAGGATTGTGCCAAATAATGAGAACATTTCCAGGTAACATCCTGATTTGCATCCATAAATAGTTTTGTTTGGTTATCTTTTATTTTGCTTGCTCAGTAAAATAGAAATGTTGAAATGTGAGCACATCTCAATTCATCTTGCATAGTTCTTAAAAATAGCACAGCCTCATTTATCAGCATGTCCAAATGTATCTAAAAACAGTTAAGATAACATTGATAGAGGAGAATGTTGTTTTCCTTGGCTTATACAGAATCTTGATTCTCACAGAGGTGGCAAAACCATACATGCTTTACCACTTCATGTTCCATGCACAGACTCTTGTAGAATAAATCTGCTCAGCAAAACTCAGTCTTGCCCACGGAAAACTAGGTGTCAGAGAGCCTACCCCTCTTCTAGCTGTGTTTCCTTTGTCCAGAGAATGCTGTATGTAATAGGAATGTTTAGTCATGGGAATCCCCTGCTTTCATCTGAAGTAATGGTTTACTACTAGATATGGGGGTATTCGTGTCAGAATACGAATACCTCCATCTCTATTTACTAAATTAATAGGAGCTAGGCCTCTCTGAGGTTGTGGTCAGATGACGGTGAAGGATTCCATCCAACCATGCTGGAAAGTGTTGCTTAGCTGGGAGTGCTCTCCCTTAAAGTGGCTCTTCTGCGCACACCGAATGGCTCCAGCCTAGTTCCAAAATAGAGTAGCCCTGCTGCTGGACCAAAAAAAGGTCCAGTTTGGGAATGGAGCAAGGTTGGGCTGGCGCGCAGTTGTCTGTACCTGGTCCGACCACTGGAAGGTAGCTCACATCAGAGCATGCCACAAGCGACCCAAAATGCAAGCTATTCCACTCTCTGATTGCACTGTGAGGCATGAGGAATGGCATCTTTATAAGTACATACTTTTTAAAAGCAATCACTTAATTCTCAAAATGCTTGGATTTTTTTGGGTCCTTTTAAGTACACATTGCCCAGCTTGGCCTAGTTGTGCTGCTAAACTGAGGCAATATGAAAAGAATTAGAATATGAATGTTTGTGAATGAGGAATTATCTGTACTCTTTCTTTAAAAAGTCTGCAGTTTCTTTAGTCAACCAGAGATTAAAACGGTGCTTCATTGGATGCACAGCTTGCCAGTCATTTTGCCCCTAACAGTCACTTCAGAAACATAGGAAATAATAAAAAATGAAGAATAAGTTTGAATCTGAGTAGTGGAGCTTGACATTAGGTAACCCTAGGCAGCTCCCATTAGGGCCCTCTTTGTGTTTCTTCCCAATAATGGTGATTGGGTACAGATTTCTCTAACACTGAATGGTAATATTGCCATACAGCGGCTGCCGAGCTCTCCTGCTGATTGAGGTGAGAGAGGTGCCAATGCCCCATCCTTCCCACAGTACAAACTTTAGGCTCCTCCTCCCTCTCATGCTGTTGCTACGGCCACCGCCATCCTGCCACACCCACTTTCCTAGCACTCAGAGTGCTCCCACCACCAACATGAAGCACCAACATGAAGCACCATTCATCACAACTGCTGCTTGCTTCCCTGTTTCCTTAAGCTTGATGTGGGGTGGTGCTGGCTGCATAAAGTCACTGCTGCCTCTTTGCATGGAGCTGATGTGTGAAGCACCATTCGTCACAACTGCTGTTTGCTTCCCCGTTTCCTTAAGCTTGATGGCCCTGGAGTGGGGTGGCGCTGGCTGCGTAAAGCCACTGCTGCCTCTTTGCATGGAGCTGATGTTTTGTATAGAAATACAAAGCACTAGGTTTGCACAAGGAGGCACCAGATGCTTTGTGTGGCAGATTTCTCCTTGCCACGGGGCAGGCAAACAAGCAACAATAACAGAGGCTATGGGAAAGCAGCAGAAGCCACACCATGAGACACAAGGAACAGGAAGAGAGGGTAGGTGGTGATGGGATTCTGGGAGGGATGGCGCAATTCACCACACCTCATGTCTCCCTGCCTGCAGCAAACATCACAGTCAGCCCAAAGGTAGGGCTGTCCTTGCTGGCATTTCCTGCCTGTCAGGCATCTCTCAAGATACAAAGCTTCCATCAGACTCTGCCCCCCCCCCCAAAGGGATAGAAACCATTAGGCGTGTAAATTCCCTTCTTCCATCTGAAGTAACGGTTTACTGCCTTAGTAGGACTTAGGCCTTTCTGAAGTTGTGACTGGATACAAATGAAGGATCCTATCTGATCACGCTGGAAAGTGTTGCTTTGTTGGGCATGATCTCTGCTCACAAATCTAAGACACCAGGAATTAAATTCAGGGGTGGAGGCAAGGTCAAGGAGATAGCTCAATGGAGGGAATGCCCGTAGAAGAAAGGTGAAATTATGTATTACATACATCACAAGAAAGGGGATAGTGAATATTCTAGCTTTAGGGCAGTTCAAGAAGCCATAGGAATACCTGGGAGTCATCTATCATTGCAATCCAGGAATTCCAGGGTCCTGATACAAACTTGGTCTCTAAAGAATAGACATAGACATAGATATACTGTAGATCCTTAAATATCTCATTTACCTTGAAAACCCCTATTAGGATTGCTATACGTTGGTTCTGACATGATGACACACAAGACAAACATATAGCTGTCTGTCTATATAATATGTATTTATAGTATTTTTATAGTGTTTTAGCACATGAGGATACATCCTGCATGTTTATCCAGGATGGCTGATTTTGAAATACAAATACAGCACTTTGCTATTGTTCCATTTTCTCTAGGCTCTTCTTCAGGATATCCTCCTCATGGTTGCCTGTGTTGGTTTGTTTTTTGTTTTGTTTTTCCTGGCAGCATTAATTATTGAGGCAAATATCATGGCTTGAAATTATGGAAATCTGATGTAGAGGCCATGTGGGTAATCTCAGAGGAAAAGTGGAACAGGGGCATTCACATCATCTCTGGATTTCTAGAGAAATAAATTAGAACCATCCTTCCCTACAAGCAATAGGCATATTACATAAGAACAACACACACCCCCGATAACAATAGAATAAGAGAGTGAGGAATGAGAGATAAAATTTATATCCCCTTAACACAGGCTAGGCACCATGAAGCAGATTTAGGATATGATCTACCCAAATCTAAGCATTTTCAAACCCTCTTCAGTTCTCCCAGATAGCTTTAAGCAGATGTCTAATCCCTGCAGTGCAATTACTGGTATTTTAAAATTCATATTTCTGTTTGGATCATTCGGTCAGTAGATTCTCTCAGATGAAACAGTACCACTCCAGTCAGCCTGTCTGATTTTAGAGAGCCCATTCTTTTCTGTGACATAGATTCGTTCCAACTTTTCCAGAGCTTCTCACATTACTTTCATTTGAACAAATCGCTTCTTTTTAAAGAAAAAGTGTGCGTCTGAAACAACCGTTTGGCCACAGGCTATTTCTTCCCCCTCTTCCATTTTCTGGCCTGATAGAGACATGTGGTGAGCCTGCTGCTTTGTTGGCTGCTAGCCACTGTGTGCTCGTTAGTCCTGCCCACAAAAATCTGGCTCTGTGTCCACTTTCCTCATTGCATCATGTGGCAGACACATGCATGCACAAAGACACGCACGAATGCACTTTCTTTCTGTGCAGCTTGGAAAGCTGCTATGGTCGCTTCTTCAGCAGCTAAAATGCAATGTTTTGACAAGGTTGCATATGTCAATATTGCAGATGGTGGGGGAACCACTATAGACTACACATCCAGTTTCACTTTCTTGAGGTGAGTGAGAGCTGATTTTGAGGCATTGCTACCCTCATTCTTGTGGAATGATGCAAAGAACTGTCATGTAGCTACTTCTTCATCTTCAGCGTTATGGTTTTACAGCAGCAGGTGGTTGGATAGCACTAGCAGCTTTGAGATGTGTCACCTCCGGTGGCATTCCTTCTGTGGACTGGCTGCTCGACACCTGCCAGAACTAGCCACATGATTATATTTCTCAGATCTCTCTTTTAACAATAGGTGCAATCCCAAAAAACCATCCCTGTCTCTCCATATATGTGGAAAATAGGTCTTGTATTAATGTTGTTGTGCAAGTTTGAAGTAGTTGTTGCTAAAACTTGACAAAGTATCATCAGCTATTTTGTTACCAAAAAATGCCACTCAGCCATCCGTTTCCAGGTCCACAATGCTCAAAACCAGCCAAGGAGTGTGTGAGTCAATGAGTTTGTTTCTTTACACTTAGAGTGGAAAATCTCCCTTGCAATCTTTTCTCTTTCTGAGATGTGCGGAGTAATGACAAAATAACTTGAACAATTTGGCTTTTCACTATGCTGTCTGAGGGATCTGCTTCACTCAGCCAAATGGAGGGCCAGCTGCACATTTAGAGTGAAACCACATGTATTTACATTGGGAGAAAGACATACAAACCCCAGTTCAGAACAGAAAATACCGGCTTCAGAACAAAGAATTTAGAAGAGGAAAGAATTACGAATTCTCTACCCCTACCTTAACCCTTTTAATTTTCAGCTATAGCCTCATCTCTGCCCAGCCCTACTTACATTTTTTAAATTTTAATTTAATTATTTACTTAGTTGTATTTTTAAAAAATCCTACATGTACAATGCAAAGATATGTTTAGATACCACAGCAGTTTGGCAGAAAGTCTTTACAGGGAATCTTTTGAGAAGATTAGAGTTACCTGCTAAGGGTGCAACTACACAATGAAGGACATGCTAATTCCCTCTAATTCATTTGCTGTGAAGTTACATTGGAGAATTCAGGTTTCTCCAGGTCTCCCCATTTGATATGGCCACACAAGAAGAGAGAGGGAAGCCTTGTTTTCAGCTTGTTTGCAGCTCTATTTAAAGCCCTAGAGTTGTCATAGTCACTGCAAAGGAGAACAGCTATAAACAGGAGCTACCTCCTCTCATTAGTTTTGCTGTAAACCGTTCTTTAAAAAGAGAGGTGTTGTTTGTTCCTTAACTGCCTGTTAAGGAGTCTTTCCAATGGACTTTGTTGTCAGTCCCTAACTGCATGCTGGCACAGTGGCTTTTCCATACTGGTTCAAGCAATCACATATCTGAACTGATGTGATTGAATCTGTTTTTAAAAGA